TCATAGGATTTTTTCTTACTATTACATTCCTATTCTACTTTTTGATGCTCTACACAATAGGCATAGTTATTTTTTGGAAGCCAAAATTTCGGTCGATGCCCAGGTCAATTGTATAGATTACTGTGAAAAATATCGAGAATCTATTCGATTAACCTTAGAGACCGGCGATGAGCTAGAAGTGGATGACTTGAATACAGAGATCTTTGGCGAAGTTGGAGAAGTGGATCAGTTGGACAAAAACAAATCCAATAAACTAAAAGCCACTGAAATAACGGATATCGATATTCTGGCCACGAGTTTTGTATTTTTCGTGGCCGGATATCAGACCACAGCCCGTCTACTAACGTATCTCACCTATAGTTTGGCTTTGAATCCCGAATGTCAACAAAAACTGTACGAAGAAGTGCACAGTTTTGACGGAAAGTATGATTACGAGAGTATATCTAAAATGCCGTATTTGGAGGCCTGTGTCGCAGAAACACTCCGACTCTATAATCCATTGGCCGGTGTCAGCAGAATTGCTAACGAGGAATATACTATTGGTTTGTATTATTCCGTAATTTATAATTATTTAGAATTAATTCAATGCTTATCTAATTGAATATTAAACACAACTATTAGGCGATACGGGAATAACAATACCGTAGGGAATGTTAGTTAACTTCAACATTGAAGCCCTTCATAAGAACCCCGATTACTAACCCGAACCCGGATCGTTGGGACCCTGAGCGTTTTATGCCCGAAAATCGCGATCAATTAGTGCCGTATACTTATATGCCGTTCGGAATGGGACCCCGAAATTGTGTGGGAATGAGGTTTGCCTTAATGGAGGCCAAAACAACCGCTGCTTATTTGGTGAACAAATTCAAATTTGTGCGAACGGACAGAACTAGTGTTCCCCTCAAACCACTTAAATTTCAATTCATTTACACCACTGGAGACGTCAACGTAGGCGTAGAGTTGAGAAAATGAAAACAAAACAATAAACACAATCTATTTTTATTATTTAAAAACATTAATCTAGTTAAATATACAGTAATTATTTTACTTTCCTCTAATGTCCAAATATATTGTAATTTAATTACTATTTACTTTGTAATAATTATTTTCATATCGTTTAATAAATTTTCATAATAATCATCATAAATGTTGTTGATTGACAGTAAGAGAATACTGAAATGAATAAAATTTAATAGAAAACTAAAGGTATCAAAGTTTACAGACCATGGTAATTGTAATCATCAAAGTGCATCTAGGAAAGATCCAGTCAAGTAATTAATTCTTCCCTGATGCACTTGATTTTAGTCATTGAGGGGTGTACTGTAATATGTTATGTAATTTAACTATACTTTATTCGTCTAATGTGTAAACGTATTAATTTGTGTACAAAACCATGAAATCATTGTTTAAACACAATTGAAGAAAACAACTATAAAAACGGCTATAAATTTGAAACAATGGTATTCATGAGTGAAATACAATAAAATATATAATAGCCTATTATTAATAGGTTTTCATTAGTAATATTATTTATCTTTCAATTACAAAGGTTGGAATATTACGATTAAAATTCTTAAAATACGAGAATATTAAATATTCAATAGAAATATATCTTATCTTGGTTAAATCAATTATACTTTAACAATTAAGTCTCTCTCTCTCTCTCTCTCTCTCTCTCTCTCNCTCTCTCTCTCTCTCTCTCTCTCTCTCTCTCTCTCTCTCTCGTTCAATCAAACACAATTTTATTATAATTATCCAACCTTAACAACACATCCTATTATTAAATCAGTATATTTCGTGTCCTTGTATTGCGATTAACGCAAAAAATACAAACATTCATGAAATCTATATTAAAAATACTATTATAGACATCAATATGTGATAACACAAACTGTTTGTTAGGTTTAAATATCGAGAGTTTATTTAAATAGCGAAACATTACAATATTTTTAGTATTTTTAGAATATTAGTATAAAAGTTTGTGAATTACTAGTGTTATATAATTATATTATATTATTTTAAAAAGTAAGCATGTTGTTTGCAAGTCTATTTGGTTGGAATTCACTCGTTGTACTCATCACTACTTTGGGTGTATTATATTTGTATGTATTCAAATGTTAAACTGTTATTTCACTTTAAATTCCTTATAATATATCGTCTAATTTTCAACAGCTATTTGACGCGAAATTTCAAATACTGGTCTTCGCGGGGAATCAATGGCCCGAAACCGATCCCATTCTTCGGCTCTCTGTACTCCATGTTCTTTGAATCAATGCCCGAAATATTTCTAAATAATTACAAACGATATGGAAATATATACGGGTATAATGTATATTATGGATGAAAATATATCCAATGTTATAAAATGTTAATTTGAATGAACAGCACATTTCTTGGCTCAAAACCTAATCTTGTGATATGTGACCCGCAATTGATTAAAGACATGAATATTAAAGATTTTCACGTCTTCTTCGATCACAACAACTTTACAACAGGGGATCCGTTGAACGATAGGTCGCTCTTTAATCTGTTTGGCGACGACTGGAAGAAAATGCGATCAATTGTTAGTTGTATTTCAGAAATCAATTTAAATATTTTATAGTTTTTGTTTTATTTTATAGATTAGTCCAACATTTTCGTCGGGAAAGATGCGGGCAATGCATCCAATTATTGTCGATTGTGTCCATCGATTGGAAGACTATTTGGAAAAGAAGTCGAAGAATGGCGAAGACGTGGAATTAAAGCAGGCGATGGGGAATCTTACTATGGATGTGATCGCTTCGTGCGCTTTCGGCACCAAAACGGATACACATAATGACGAAAACAATGAGTTTGTTTTAAACGCCCGGAAAGTGTTTCGCGGGAATTGGAGGATTTGGGTCTTCTTTCTGGTGTACACAACATTCCCTAAACTACTCGAATGGACGGGATTTCAAATAACAGATCCCGGAGTCAAAGACTTTTTCCAAAAAGCGGTTCGTGTTTATCAATAAAACTGAATAATATTTTTAACTTTTTTAAAACCTTTTTGAATATTTTTTATTCACTTTAAGTTTAGATCAAATCGATTGTCGAAAGACGTAAATTAGAAAAGACAAAGAAAAGAGATTATCTGCAGCTTATGATTGACGCCAAGAATAAAACTTTAGAGACCGGCGATGAACTAGAAGTGGATGACTTGAATACAGACATCTTCGGAGAAGTGGATCAGTTGGACAAAAACAAATCTAATAAACTAAAGGCCACTGAAATAACGGACATCGATATTCTGGCCACGAGTTTCTTATTTTTTGTGGCCGGATATGAGACCACAGCCAGTCTACTAACGTATCTCACCTATAGTTTGGCTTTGAACCCAAAATGTCAACAAAAACTGTACGAAGAAGTGCACAGTTTTGATGGAAAGTATGATTACGAGAGTATATCTAAAATGCCGTATTTGGAGGCCTGTGTCGCAGAAACACTGCGAATATACAATCCTGTGGCCGGTGTCAGCAGAATTGCTAACGAAGAATATACTATTGGTTCGTATTATTTGGTAATTTCTAATTAATTATAATTAATTCTAATTGAATATTAAATACAACTATTAGGCGATATGGGAATAACAATACCAAAGGGAATGTTAGTTAACTTTAACATTGAAGCCCTGCATAAGAACCCCGAGTATTACCCGAACCCGGATCGTTGGGACCCTGAGCGTTTTATGCCCGAAAATCGTGATCAATTAGTGCCGTATACTTATATGCCGTTCGGAATGGGACCCCGAAATTGTGTGGGAATGAGGTTTGCCTTAATGGAGGCCAAAACAACCGCCGCTTATTTGGTGAACAAATTCAAATTTGTGCGAACGGACAGAACTAGTGTTCCCCTCAAACCACTTAAATTTCAATTCATTTACAGCACTGGAGACGTCAACGTAGGCGTAGAGTTGAGACAATAAAAATAAAACAATAAACACAATCTATTTTTTATTATTTAAAAACATTAATTTAGTTAACTATAGTTAAATTATTTTACTTTCATGCGAATAAAATTATATCCTGTTTAAAAATCGTTTTATTATTTATTAGACTTGTTTGTCATCTAAATTTAAAACATGGGAATAAATATGGTGATATTTTACAAACATACTAACTTAATTTTTCGCGTTCAACTTTTATATTTTAAGTTAACTATTATTATTTTATAAATTATAATTTTACCTAATCAGTTATTGTTTTTAAAATGAGAAGATATTTTATCTATGGTCTAAATTCCTACTACTGGGAGAGCAAATTAATTAATTTAAAAGTCAACAACTTTGCCGATTAAAAACTGATTGCATGACAACTCGTGTTAAATAGCATAGAATAGGTTCAAACATTATTGAGATCATAATGAAATTAACTAATTTGTAATAATATACCAGTTTTACAACTATAGAATATGCTATTTATTTTATAGATAAAGTTTACATAATATTCTATTAAAAAAATATTTTTAAAAATCTAATGTTGTCTATTTATTTAATATATTAATAATAGTAATAGCAATTATTGATAGTAATTACTAATTAGCAATAATTTATTGAATGATCATTTTACTCTCATAATATGATAAGCTAACATAATATATTATAAGCTCATTTGGTTTAGAACAATTTCATTTTCCTTTTAAATATTTTTAAAATAATAATTTTATCAATAATACACAAAACTGATAAATAGGATTTAACATGTTAAACATTTAACTATCTGTTTATACAAATGTGATATTCATAGCAAACTTTTAGTTTGATGTGATCCTAATGTACTAGAAATAGGGAAAACAGTGTATAAAAAGTAAATCAATAATAAATATTTGTTTTTATTTCCAGTAAACAGACAAAAGCTAATTAAATTTTGCACATTATTTCATTTGATTTCATCATGTGTTTACTGGCATTAGATTTGATTGAATACAATTGTATTGTCTGCAGCAAACTTCGCTCGTTTATTCGCCCAAACACTAATAGATTATTATTATGTCCTTGAATTGTCATAGATACAATAATAAAACTATTTTCATCATCTCGTACTGTAATCTTACAAACGATTGGATAATATAAACAATTATTTGATAACAGGTTTTATATTTGATATATATTAAGGCGTTTTGACTGAAATTTACAACAAAATACAAATTTTAAATTTTAGAGTTTAACCATTTAACATTTAAGACAATTTAAAATTTAGCAAGCAAACATGATTCTAGCAAGCTTGTTTGGCTTGAATTCCTTGATAGTTCTCGTGACTTCTTTAGTGATACTCTATTTGTAAGTTATTAATTATTATTTTTGCAATTATATACTTATTATTATTGTTTCAATTAGTTATTTGACCCGAAATTTTAAATACTGGTCCTCGCGTGGGATCGACGGCCCGAAACCAATCGTAGGTTTTGGCACTTTATACCAGATTTTTTTCAAACCATTGACTGATGTCAATACCGAGAACTTCAAGAAATATGGAAAGATCTATGGGTTTGTATTAATTGGTTATTATACTGTATATTGAATGTCAAATAATATTCACGCTTTCATTGACAGTACATTTCTCGGCACTAAACCCGTACTTATGATCGCAGACCCGGAACTCACTAAAGAGATGAATATCAAAGACTTTCATCTATTTGTCAACCGAAACGACTTCGTAACCGGAGATTCACTGAACGACAGATCAATGTTTAATTTAATGGACGACGAGTGGAAGAATATGCGATCAATTGTGAGTACAGACAATACATACAACAGATTGTTGTCAATCTGTATACAAAACAATATAAGTTTGTTTAAAAAAAATTTAATCCATAGATAAGTCCAACATTTTCGTCCGGAAAGATGAAAGCAATGCATCCCATAATCGTTGACTGCACGCAGAGATTGGAGGAGTATTTGGAGAAGAAGGCGGTGACCGGCGAAGAGGTGGAGATGAAGATTAGATAAGTCCAACATTTTCGTCCGGAAAGATGAAAGCAATGCATCCCATAATCGTTGACTGCACGCAGAGATTGGAGGAGTATTTGGAGAAGAAGGCGGTGACCGGCGAAGAGGTGGAGATGAAGAAGATTATGGGCAATCTGACGATGGATGTGATCGCTTCGTGCGCTTTCGGCACCAAAATAGACACTCATAACGACGAGAAGAGAAGCGACTTTATACTCAACGCACAGAAAGTATTTCGCGGCAATTGGAGGGTTTGGGCTTTCTTTCTATTCATGACTACATTCCCGAAACTCGTCCGATGGACTGGATTTACATTCAATGACCCGACAGTTGTCAAGTTCTTCCGCACAGCTGTGAGTAATCATTATTTAGTTGAATCATAAATGAACTTAAATTTAATTTTATAAAACTTGTGTTAAGATTACATCAATTATCAGACGACGTAAGTCAGAGTCAGAGTCGGGCGGAAAGAAGAGGGATTACCTGCAGCTCATGATTAACGCGCAGAACAAGAGCGAGGATAAGGCCGCCGATGAACAAGAGATCGACGATCTGAACGAAGAGATCTTCGGAAAGACAGACCCGACGGAAGCGCTTAAATTCAATAAAATGCAAACAGAGATCTCTGAGGACGACATTCTGGCCACGAGTTTCATATTCTTTGTGGCCGGATATGAGACCACAGCAACACTTTTGTCGCTTTTATTCTATAGTCTGGCCGTCGATCCCAAGTGTCAGCAGAAGCTCTACGAAGAAGTCAAACGATTTGACGGAAACTTCAGTTACGAAAACATCTCAAAAATGCCGTATTTGGAGGCCTGTGTCGCCGAAACCCTCCGACTCTATAACCCTATTTCAGCCGTCGGCAGAATGGCGTCCGAAGAATACAAAATAGGTTTGAGTTTATTAATTATATTATTAATTAATATAAATATTTTTTATTAAAATATTTGTTACCATATGTTAGGCGATACTGGACTTACAATCCCGAAGGGCATGTTGGTCAATTTTGACGTCCAGACCCTACACCACAACCCCGATTACTACCCCGATCCGGATCGTTGGGACCCTGAGCGTTTTATGCCCGAAAATCGTGATCAGTTAGTGCCGTATACTTATATGCCGTTCGGAATGGGACCCCGAAATTGTGTGGGAATGAGGTTTGCCTTAATGGAGGCCAAGACAGCGGCCGCTCATTTGGTCAACAAATTTATATTCAAGAAAACGGCCAAAACAACAGTTCCGCCAAAACTTAAGAAATTCGAGTTTCTGTTGACAACTGAACCACTCATTACAGCCATCGAGAAGAGACATTAGATCATTGAAATGAATTCATTTGCATAGAAATTGCAATTAAATTGCTTTTAATTCATAAATTGTAACTTTTTAACTTTGTGTTATCTTTATTGAATCATACATAATAAATATTTTAATCTATAAATAACAATCATAATTATTAATTGTTTTTATAAATGTAAAAAGCAATTAGAAATAAATGACCAATATTACATAAGTAATAAATAATTTATTAATTATTACAACTAATTAAATAAGCAAACAAATAGTTGACTTATTTGGAAAGTTCCATAAATTAGCGTAAAAAATATTTCACACATTTTCCACAACAATCACTATAAATGAAGAATAAATTATAGGAATAAAGTATTTTCATTGTTTGTTGTGTATAGAAATCCTTTTGAAGGTTACCCTTAATTGCTATCAATTTTTTACATGTTTATAATTTTCAATGTCAAGCAAATGTTTGATACTAATGGAGTCGAGACGATAATAATAACATATTACATACAATGAATGTATTTATTATAGGATTGCTTTTATTTGTCTATCATTTATCCAAAAAATGGTATGAGACCAGTGAGTTAGTCAAGATCCTAATGCACCTAAAGTTATTCAATTATGATAATTATAAACAAGAAAAAAGTGCATACAACAAAATTTTTTTAACATTAAATTTGCATTAATTATTTTATTGTTACTATAAATAATTTTAAAATAAGATAATTATAATAATTTAGTTATGCTAGTGTTTGAATATTAATGCAGTAACTTTAAAATAGCTGAAATTCTATATTAAAATTACAATTAAATACGAGTTAAATAACAATTTAAATTTTTATGCAATAACTTTATTATAATTCAATTGTGCTTTAATTTTGACCTTTAAATATATTTTAAATACAATTAGTTACAATTGAATCCTATATTGTACTTGAACATGTTGATTAATGCAATCTTAAACTAGATAAAATAATACTTTTTCTAATTATGATCAACTAATTGTGAAATAATATTATTAAATGTATAGAAAAATATAAAATTGAAAATGATATTATGTAAATTTACGTATTATTGTAATTATACACCCAATTAAATTAAATACATTCAATTTAATTGCTATGATTTTTTTTACAATTTTTAGTAATTAATGTTATAACTTTGATATCCACTCGTATTTAATATTTAGGATCATAAACTTGATAGAATTGCTTTTATTTTTCAATCATTAGTAAAACTAAACTTATTATCTATGAGTACTATCTGTGAGCTCAGACCCGAATGTACTTCACACTATTCAATTAAGGTAACTGTATATAAAAGTACAATTCAACATGTTGATTACTTCAATCAGAAGTTAGATAAAAAATCAGTTCGGGACTATAAATGTTAGCTTAAAATAGTAATAAACATTTAGTGTGTGTTTTAGATTATTTAATTTATCGAGTTTAATATTTAAAAATTAATAATGATTTTTGGATTAAATTCATTTGTTTTGCTCATAACATTTCTGGGGGCTATTTATTAGTGAGTAAATCAATGTATTTTATAATCAAATGTATTGTAATTAATAAAAATTATAATAAATACTGAATATAAAACAAAAATTTAATTCATTTAATATTTGCCAGTTTTTTGACGAGAAACTATAATTTTTGGACTTCTCGCGGAATCAATGGCCCGAAACCTATTGCCTTTTTTGGCACATTTTATCAAAACTTTTTTAAATCCATGCAAGAAGTGGCGGTCGATAACAGCAGGAAATATGGCAAAGTCTATGGGTTTGACAATACATTGAAACGATTGGCTTTTGACTTATTTCTCACTAAACATAACTGTTTATAATATATTATTAGGGGATTCTTCGCCACTCGACCCTTCCTTATGATAGGAGACCCACAACTCGTCAAAGAGATTCTGATAAAAAACTTTCATATATTCGCCGATAGAGACGACTTAATAACTGGCGATTCACTTAACGATAGGACACTGTTTGCCCTCAAAGGAGACGAATGGAAAAATATGCGATCAATTGTTAGTAAATGTTTTAATTCAAAATTTTAACAATTATATTGTGCTCTATAAACAAAAACATATATTGAATGTATTGATAGATAAGTCCAACGTTTTCGTCGGGAAAGATGCGTTCAATGCATCCCATTATCAGTAATTGTGTGAAGAATTTGGAGAAACAGTTTGAGACGAGTGTAAAGAATGGGAAACAAGAGATTGAATTGAAGAAAATGATGTCAAATCTAACAATGGATGTGATATCTCAGTGCGCTTTTGGCACTAAACTAGATATTTATGGCGAAAAGACCAGTGATTTTATAACATATGCCCAGAAAATAGTTAACCCGTCGCTTCGTATTTGGGTAGTGTTTCTGATTGCGGTGTCGTTTCCAAAGTTTATCAAATGGTCGGGTCTATCGGTTCTCGATCCCGGATCCGGCAAATTCTTCCGCTCAGCCGTCAGTTGTAAATATTATCAATTATAATAAAAATACTGATTTTATTAACTTTTTCAGATCCGATCGATTATATCGCGTCGAAAAGCGGATAAAACTAAACAAAGAGATTATTTACAACTAATACTAAACGCACAAAACAAGACTCTGGACACGACTGACGAACCGGAAGTCGAGGGCGACAGAAGTGACCAGATTTATGGCAAAACGGATCAGTTGAAGGACCAGAAGATCAATAAATCAAAGATAGAGATCTCTGAAGACGACATTCTGGCCACGAGTTTTCTATTTTTTGTGGCCGGATATGAGACGACCGGTTCTCTCTTGACTTTCCTCTTCTATAGTCTGTCTTTGGATGAAAAATGTCAACAAAAACTGTATAAAGAAGTCCACAGTTTTGATGGCAATTATAACTACGAAACTATTGTTAAAATGCCGTATTTGGAGGCATGTATTGCCGAAACATTGAGAATTTACAATCCGTTGGTCTTCAATGAAAGAATCGCTGCCGAAGACTACAAATTGGGTTTGTTTTTTGACATATAAATACAGTATCTTAACAATAATTTAGAGAGCAATCAATGACTTTTAAAATTGTACAATTTATAGGCGACACAGGAATTACTATTCTTAAGGGAACCACTGTTGACATTGATGTCCAGTCTATACACCATAACCCCGAGTATTACCCAAACCCGGATCGTTGGGACCCTGAGCGTTTTATGCCCGAAAATCGTGATAACTTAGTGCCGTATACTTATATGCCGTTCGGAATGGGACCCCGAAATTGTGTGGGAATGAGGTTTGCCTTAATGGAGGCCAAGACAGCGATCGCTCATTTGGTCAATAAGTTTGAGTTTTATCGCACGGAAAACACAACGACTCCTCTTAAGCCAAAAATGATGCAATTTTTGCTCAATTGTGGAGAAGTGAAAATTGGGATGAAATTAAGAAAATAATGTCAATTAAGATATAACTTAAGAAAACAAATACTAATAAAACGAAGAATAACTTATAAATTAATTTGAATACTGGTTTATAGCTTAAAATTTTTTGTGAATTTCTCGGTTGAAATAATTAACGTTGTTTTCAAATATTTATATTCTATATTAAAATTCTATTAGCTGTTTCCCGCATTTTGTATAACTTATATTCTTGTTTATGGTTTTCAATGTCAAAAGTTTGATGCTATTCGTGTAGTCGAGACGATTAGTTTTGCAATCCTTTTATTTTTTGATCATTTGTATAAAATAAACGTATTTTCCTGTATAAGGACTATTAGTTAGCTCAGACCCGAATGTACTTAACTATAATTAATTTACTTTGTATAAAAAATAAAATGCATATAAAAACAAACATTCTTAATAAATTTGAATTTATTCTTTAATACATTGTCTTATTTTATAACAACATCTAATTTATATTATAAAGCTTATAACAATATAAGTTTGTAATTATAAAATACTGTATAAATTACCGCAACAACTTATCGTGCTATGCATAACAACATAATAATTTTAATTTGAAGTACCTGGACAATCTACTATATTTAATAAGTTCAAATAAAATCGGTGTAAAAGTCAATAATTAAAACTCAATATTAGGTGCACATTTTTAACTGGCATTTCTATGCAATAACTATTGATATACAATAATTGAATTGTGCGTAAACCTTGAATTGTATATTAAATCGAGAATAATTATACTGCTTATAATTGTGCGCAATTGAGCATGCTGATTACTGCAATCATATATTAGATAAAAATTACTTTTGGTGCTATGTTGTCTCAAAATAATGTAGTGATAAAATTAAAATATGCTTTCATAGAAAGTTTTAATTAATTTTTACAAATAATATTAATATTGTATTAATATTTACAAATTAATAATGATTTTCGGATTAAATTCGTTGGTTTTGTTGATCACATTTGTGGTCGTTATATATTAGTGAGTAAATTAATATAATATGCAATTTATAAAAACTGATAATAAATATTATTAATATAATGGAAAGTATATGAAACAAAAATATAAACTTGTTTTTATTGTTTGTCAGCTTTTTAACCAAAAACTATAAGTTCTGGACCTCTCGCGGAATCAATGGCCCGAAACCTATTGTCCTTTTTGGCACATTTTATCAAAACTTTTTCAAACCGATGACAGAAGTGGCGGTCGATAACAGCACAAAATATGGCAAAGTCTATGGGTTTGACAATACATTGAAACAAATTTTAATAATTATTTATAACTGTTTATAATAACTATTTATAATAATTATTTATAACTGTTATATTAGCGGATTCTTCGGCACTCGACCTTTCCTTATGATAAGCGATCCAAAACTGGTCAAAGAGATTATGATAAAAGACTTTCACTTATTCGCCGATAGAGACGATATGATTACTGGCGATTCACTTAACGATAGATCACTGTTTAATCTGAAAGGAGACGAATGGAAAAATATGCGATCAATTGTTAGCAAATGTTTTAAACTTTATAACAATTTGCGTAATCTTTTATAACATTTAATCGTAATATTTATTGATAGATAAGCCCAACGTTTTCGTCGGGAAAAATGCGTTCAATGCATCCCATTATCAGTAATTGTGTGAAGAATTTAGAGAAACAGTTTGAGACGAGTGTAAGGAATGGGAAACAAGAGATTGAATTGAAGAAAATGATGTCAAACCTAACAATGGATGTGATATCTCAGTGCGCTTTTGGCACTGAACTGGATATTTATGGCGAAAAGACCAGTGATTTTATAACCTATGCTCAAAAGATAGTGCAGCCGTCGTTTCGGTTGTGGTTTGTGTTTCTAATGGTCGTATCGTTTCCTAAGTTTATCCAATGGACGGGAATGTCTCTTCAAGATCCCGGAGCCTCCACTTTCTTTCGCGCAGCCGTTAGTAAATGGTTTTAATTATAATAAATATTAAGTTTTGTTTCTATACTTTTTTAGATCCGATCGATTATATCGCGTCGAAAATCAGATAAAACTAAACAAAGAGATTATTTACAACTAATACTAAACGCACAGAACAAGACTTTGGACACGACTGACGAACCGGACGTCGAGGGCGACAAAACCGATCAGATTTATGGCGAAACGGATCAGTTAAAGGACCAGAAGATTAATAAATCAAAGATGGAGGTGTCGGAGGACGACATTCTGGCCACGAGTTTCATATTTTTTGTGGCCGGATATGAGACAACCGGTTCTCTCTTGACTTTTCTCTTCTATAGTCTGTCATTGGATGAGAAATGCCAACAAAAACTGTATGAAGAAGTCCGCGGTTTTGATGGCAATTATAACTACGAAAACATCGTTAAAATGCCGTATTTGGAGGCATGTATTGCAGAAACGTTGAGAATTTACAATCCATTGGTTTTTACCGAAAGAATTCCTTCCGAAGACTATAAATTAGGTTTAGTTTTAATAAATATTTTAAAATTCTTTGTGAGAGCAGTCAATAACTCTTAAAATTGTAAAATTATAGGCGACACAGGAATTACTATTCCTAAGGGAACCACTGTTGACATTGATATCCAGTCTATACACCATAACCCGGAGTATTACCCGAACCCGGATCGTTGGGACCCTGAGCGTTTTATGCCCGAAAATCGTGATCAATTAGTGCCGTATACTTATATGCCGTTCGGAATGGGACCCCGAAATTGTGTGGGAATGAGGTTTGCCTTAATGGAGGCCAAGACAGCGATCGCTCATTTGGTCAATAAGTTTGAGTTTTATCGCACGGAAAACACAACGACTCCTCTAAAGCCAAAAATGATGCAATTTTTACTTAATTGTGGAGAAATTAAAGTTGGGATGAAATTCAGGAAATAATTGTAAATTGGAAAATAATAGATTTATAAACAGTACTTATTGTTAATTAAGATTATCATTACAATAAAAATTTTTTATTTGTTTTAATTTGTCATAAATAGTTATATTACAGTTGATTTTGTATTGATTACAAATTAACATTACAAAATCAATAATAATCACAATTAAATAAATATAATGTTTTTAAGCATATTTATTTTCAAAATGCTCATTGTTTTTGAGCATCACATCATCGCCTTAACTATATTATACGATATTCTGTGACACATGTGTGAGGAATATTGATTTCAATGAGAGGGTGGGTCCAGAATATGCGCCAAACAAATCCTTATATCTATTGCACACAACATGTCAACAAAATAGTCATATATTCTGGCCTTGAATTCTGTAACTCTCTCAAGCATTTCAATGCAAACCTTCATCAGATGTTTTGGTTTGAATTCCCAGCGAAACACAATCTAAAATATTTTGCGCAAAATATATTTAAAATTTTATTTAATTAATTGTGAATTCAATTGTGTTTTCAAATGTTGTTTCCAACAATTAGCGCAATGTTTTTTATAAGCATGTATTGGATTCATGTGGCCGTCATATTTACTACATGTTTAATTGGACTTTATATGTAAGTATTATTCGCATGATTATTATGTAATGTAGTAATAGTATTACATTTGATTTATTTTTAGCATAATTAGTTGATTGCAAACATTTTAATTACTAACTATCAAAACAGTTTGTGGATTTACGTTTTGTAGTATTTATAGTGTTTGTTATTATTTAATTATTAAATTGATTTGAAATCTATTCAGATATTTGACTCGAAATTTCAATTATTGGAAATCTCGTGGAATCGATGGCCCGAAACCGATCGCACTCTTCGGCACATTTTATCAGATATTTTTAAAACCCAATCCAATAGTGGTGTTGGAAAACGCCAGGAAATACGGCAACATTCACGGGTTGGTTACCATTGAGATACACAATACAGATTATAACATAGATATTTTGTTAGAGCATTCTTAGGCAATCGCCCGATGCTATGCATAGCAGATCCGGATCTGATCAGAGATATCGCCATCAAAGACTTTCACGTGTTTGTCGATCACAACGACTTCCAATCTGGGGATCCGTTCAGCGATCGGTCGCTCTTTAACCTAATGGGAGACGAGTGGAGAAAAATGAGATCAATTGTGCGATTCATAAGTCATTGAATTCCGAGATTTGTATTTAATTAATAAACAAATTTAATCAATAGATTAGTCCCACATTTTCATCGGGAAAAATGCGATCAATGCATCCCATTGTCACCGATTGTGTCCATCGATTGGAGAATTATTTGATGGAAAAAGTGATTAATAATGTCAGACATAATAAAGAGATTGAGTTGAAGAAAGCGATGTCGGATCTGACGATGGATGTGATCACTTCGTGCGCTTTCGGCACTCAATTAGACATTTATAACGACGAGAAGCGAAACGAGTTTGTGGTGAACGCCGAGAAAGTATTCAAACCGAACCCACGAATGGTCACATTCTTCCTATTGGTGGCCACTTTTCCTAAACTCGTTAAATGGCTTCAGTTCTCAATGATTCCGCCAAAAGTTTACAACTTCTTCCACTCAGCCGTCAGTTATCTCTATATTTTATTTACTTTTATCAACATTTTTGTACTTTAATTATAAATTTTGATACTTTATGTTTAGATTCAAACATTAATATCGAGACGTAAAGCGGAAAAAGTCAAACACAAAGACTATTTACAGCTAATGATTAACGCGTTGAACGCGTCGCCGGACAACAGCACCGGCGGTGAGGAGCAGGACATGGATGTCGGTGGAGGCGAACACGAGATGATATTCGGCGCCACTAATGAAAAACACGACACAAATAAAGCGCAAAAGTCTGTCATCACTGAAGACGACATACTCTCGACGTCTTTCCTGTTTTTCATCGCCGGTTACGACACGACGGCATCGCTTCTCTCATATCTCTTGTATTCGTTGGCTTTGAATGAAAAATGTCAGCAAAAACTATACGAAGAGGTAAAGGGTTTTCACGGAGACTATTCCTGTTTTTCATCGCCGGTTACGACACGACGGCATCGCTTCTCTCGTATCTCTTGTATTCGTTGGCTTTGAATGAAAAATGTCAGCAAAAACTATACGAAGAGGTAAAGGGTTTTCACGGAGACTACGATTACGAGAGTATATCTAAAATGCCGTATTTGGAGGCCTGTGTCGCCGAAACCCTCCGACTCTATAATCCTGTGCCACAAATCGGACGAATGGCTTCACAAGAATATACTATTGGTATTGAATTTATTTGTATTGAATAATTTAAAGAATATAAAATAAATTGTGTATTAATTTTGTAACAATTTAGGCGACACTGGATTAAAGATACCCAAAGGCATGATTGTTAACCTAGACGTCCAGACCCTGCATCACAACCCCGATTACTACCCCGATCCGGATCGTTGGGACCCTGAGCGTTTTATGCCCGAAAATCGCGATCAATTAGTGCCGTATACTTATATGCCGTTCGGAATGGGACCCCGAAATTGTGTGGGAATGAGGTTTGCGTTAATGGAGGCCAAGACAGCGGCCGCTCATTTGGTCAACAAATTTATTTTCATCAAAACGGCTGAAACTAAAGCACTTACTAATGATATGATCAAAAAGTTTCATTTAATCCTTAATTACGGCGATTTAAAAGTCGGCGTCGATTTGAGGCATAAGTTTAAGAAATAATTGATACAAAAATATTAATAATACTGTTATTACTGTATAAACACAATATATTTTTTGTAATGATATGAATCTCTATTAGTTCTACAAATATTTGGCCAAATTTTACCAAAAAAAGTATTAATCTTTGAGTTAATATGAAATGAATGCCTCATTATTATAAGTATTGAATCTGTTATGTTATGTAGTGTTACATGTTTTGTAATTCACAGATATATTTAAGTCAATAAATATAATTCATTATTTATCAAATATTTAATTTAATTAGACTTCTTTACATTTATTAATGTAATGAGAATAAAGTTTGATTTAAATTATAAAATAAATATTTAAATAATTTTAGTCAAACCTAAAGTTTAGTTGTTATTTACGTTTATGGCTAATAGACTAAATCAGATGTCAGTCAAAAATCGCATACATTATTCAATATAAACAATAATAAAGGGATGTAATGCTTATACAAATTAATGGTTAAAAAAGTATTTCGTAATGCAATTGAAGGACTGATAACTTATATCACTATTTTTTATATACAGTACGAGAATCTAAACCGATTATCATTGCAAAGCGATTGCATTCAATGCTTTAACAAACATTTTGCTGTATTTTAGTATATCATAGGAATAGTATGGTTTGTAATGTAAAGTTAGGTTTATCGAGGCCTTAATGTACTGAACCTACGGAACCTAATAAACATTTTATTTAAACGTGTTCCTAATCAATATAATGTAAAGTTTTATGTCTAGTTTTACAGTATATAAAGTTAGTCTAGTTCTGTTATTTTCATAATATTTTAAGTATTCAAACAAACATAACTTCTTGCAAATTATTTTGTAAAGATTTGTTATAATTTTATTTTAAATAATTGTTTTAAAAATTTATGTTTAAATTAAATAATGTATTCATTGGGTTATACGGCTTTTGGTGTTATAATTTCGACACTCATTGGCTTTTATTTGTATGTATAATATGTGTTAACATTTCATCTAAAATTAAATCAAATCTAATTTAAAAATTGTTTTAAATTAAATATTTAGTTATTTAAGTCGTAATTTCAATTACTGGTCATCTCGTGGTATAAAAGGTCCCAAACCTATCATATTATTAGGAAATGTTTGGGAAATGTTTTTTCGTACTTTTCATGAAATTGAAGACAACAGACTTAAGACATACGGAAAAATTTATGGGTATATTGTTTGTATAAAATTTAACAAAATTTCATATTAAAAAAACAATAAGTAATTAATTAAATTGTTTACTCCAAACAAATAGCACATTTGTGGGATCACAACCACAACTAACAGTAGCCGATCCAGAATTGGTTAAGAATATTATGATCAAAGATTTTCACCTATTTGTGAATCGTAACGATTTGGCGGCTATTGACGAAGTATTAGATCAAATGTTGACTGCCGTTAAAGATGATGAATGGAAACGATTGCGATCTATTGTAAGACTAATCCATTATAAAACTAGTTTACAAATTAATATTTATCATAAATTTGTTCAATTCTTGGCCATAGGTTTCTCCGACATTCACTACTGGAAAGATCCGTAAAATGTATGCAATGGTTGAGCACTGCGTTAAAGGTGTGGACAAAATGCTGGAAAAGGCGGCGAACGGCGAACAAGAGGTTGACGTGCGGTCACTAATGGGTAACTACACTATGGATGTGATCGCCAGCTGTGCCTTCGCTACGAAGACTGACACACATAACGATCCGAACAATCCATTTGTAGTAAACGCTAAGAAACTGTTTAGTCAAAGCATTTGGAGGTCATTCATGCTTATAGCTATGAAACCAGTGATGAAATTCTTTAAAATATCTATATTAGAGCCGACGACCACTGAATTCTTTATGAAAGCTGTGAGTAGTTGTCACTTCATTAAACATTCAATTTATTAAACAATGGTTTTATTGCATTAAAAGATCACAGAAATCGTGAATCAAAGGAAGAAAGACAAGAGTGGACGCCATCACGACTTTCTCCAACTTATGATTAACGCACAGAAAAATGTCGACGATTTGGAGGACACCGACGACCAACTGATGGACGCGGAGGCGCACCACGGGATGGATGACAACAGCAAACTCTTGACTAACAAATCCAAACTGGAAGTGACAGATTTTGATATATTGGCCAATAGTTTTCTCTTCTTTTTGGCCGGTTTTGAGACAACAGGCCATCTGTTGTCACACATGAGTTATTTGTTGGCCATTAATCCCGAGTGTCAGAAGAAACTGATGGAAGAGGTGGTGGCAAACACTAATGCCAATGGAAACCTGGATTACGAGACGATAATCCGATTGCCGTATTTGGACGCATGTATTAGTGAAACCTTAAGATTCTATAGTCCGGCGCCGCAGACGAGTCGTGTGGGCAGTGAAGACTACAAATTAGGTAATTGTTTTCTTTAAAAAGGTAAAAGTTTTATTAATCACTTACTAATTTTTGACTCACTTTATTACAGGCGATACCGGAATAACCGTTAAAAAAGGTATTCAAATACAGATTCCTATTCACGCCATTCATCACAACCCGGAATACTATCCCAAACCCCATGACTTCATTCCCGATCGGTTTTTACCCGAAAATCGTGATAAACTCACGCCCT